AAGTTTGAAAGACTGAAGGGTGGGTGAGTCTAAGGCTAGAGCAGCATGTTTGAGAAGCACACACTAGGGAAAAAAGAAGGAAAGACCAAGAGAACAGTCTGATGGGCTGGGGCACTGGGGATTTCCTCAACCACAAAGCTCTGGCCAAAGGACCCCTACCTCAGGGCCATCATTCTTGAAGACTTCATAGGAGTTGGTCATGATAGCCACCACATCCTGGTGCAGGCTCATCAATTTCTGCTGCACGGCTGCCCGATGCTCTCTTTGGTCTTCCTCAAATTCCAGGTCCCTGTACACCCGTTTGCCACTAATGCGGACCAGCAGTGTCTCTGATATCTCTTGGGCTCGCCAGCCAATGGTCAGAGTGGATGCCTTGAACTCATTCACAATCATCTGCACCTGGAGTCAGATCCCACCCATGGGGTGTGTCTTTCAGCTTGGAAGAGACCTTCTGGGCCTAATTCTGTCCTTCCGCCTATCCTCTAGCTGGAGTTGCTGACATTAAAAACAGTCCTTCCCCAAGCATACTTAATTTCTTTTGCATTACTCCCTGGTCTCTCCACCACTACCCGAGACTCAGGTATTAATTTCCCATGCACCAGTCTTTTGGTCAGCCTTTAGGGTCTAATGATCATGGCCCACCTTGCTGGCATGTATGCGGCACTCTGTGATAAAGAAGGCACTGGCCCCCTTCAAGGCCCAGTGCAGTTTCTTGAGCCCAGGGTGGATCTTCTTATCCAGGAATCGAATACGTTCTTTGAAGAGGGCCTGCTCATCTGGGGACAGCATGGCAATAATCCTGTGTATAAGAGCAGACTGGTAGCTAATGGGGACAAGCTCTGAAGGCCCCTCCTCCACACCAGAAAACTTGGTAGAAAAATCTGAAAGGTTACAATTCTAGACTAGTGCTTTCCAATAATGGAAATTATTAAAAATGCAATGATGGAAATGTTCTATAATTCGTGTTGTCCAATACAGCAGTCGTTAGCCACATGTGGCTATAGAGCATTTGAAATGTAGCCTGTGAATTTTTAAAACTTATTTAATTTCAATTAATTAAAATAGAAATAGCCACATGCAGTAGTGGCTACCATATTGGACAGTTCAGTTCTAGACACCCAAATGAAATGGCTGGTTGCACCCCCTTGGACTTTAACTGGGCTGAGAAAGGTACCCAACCCAGAACAAAGCCTCATTCCAAAAATAAGTACCAAAGGTGTTAAGAGATGGGGTGTCAGCATGGCCTTGTTTCAGAGAATCTCAGGTTATTCTGTGCCCATAATCCTAATGCCACCCAGTTTTCATTCCTAGAGAAGTGACACAGGTTTACAATACATGTGGTCTAAGTGCCCTACGGAGTGGGAGGGGACCTGGTTGGTTTTGCTCTCTACCCTAAAGCTAGCAGACAAAACTGCAAGGGACAGGAATAATCATAGGTCCATAAGAGAGAGTATGGGAAACAATTTTTTCTGAAATGAACAAAATGTAAAGGACAGATACTATAGGAAATGGACAACATCATAAAGCGGATAAGACAAAGAGGAGGCATAAAATAGCATACAGAAGGGCTGCAACGAGGACTGGAACCCTACCTATTGTAGTCTCGAGCAACAAGTAGCAGATTTTCACGAAGAACTCTCAGGTCCTCCGCACGTTCAGCTACATTCATCACATAATGGGGCGTTTCAAACAATAGCCGCTCCCAGTAGTCAATCTCCACAAAGAGAATCATCAGGGACCTTGGGGAGAAAGAAAAGCAAAGGAACTGAGGGTACTGCTCAAGGGCATAAACTAGAACAACAACAGACAGAGAAGGTGTAGGGCTGGGCACTTAAGATAAAAAATGAAGCAGAATCTCCAGGTAAAAAGGCTGACTGAACACATTGGCTTTTGCTCCCTTCCCCCAAACATTACAACAACAGGAAAGGGGTTTTTCATTGTTTAAGGCATAAGCCCACAAATACAAGGAGACAATGACAGAATAATTTTGGCAGTTGAAAAGCAGATGGATAAGGAACAGAACTGGAATCCTAAGCTGGCGATAGAAGCCACCTGGTTCATGCTGCAGGGCTCTCTAAAGGCCCAGAGGTTGGTGGCTTCAAATATCAAGGAAGGGGGTAAAAGTGGAACTAAAATAGAAAGTCCAGGTAAAAGTTTAGGAAGCAGAACTTTCCATGACCCTTTCCCT